ATTGACCAGGTGTGTGTTTATTTTGTTTCAAGGCGACTGGACGTGATTTCACCCGGCATAGGCAATCGAAACCCCCATTGAATTCAATCCATGGATTGAGTTCGATTAAGTTCGGCAATCGAACTAAATCGAACTCGCAAAAAATTTAAAAAAATGGACAATCGAGCCCAATCGAACGTTTGCTTGATTTCCGAACTCTTGACCTTGTCACGTTCTCTGAGTGTTCTCTATTACTGTCTACTTATCCAGGAAATAGAGGAAGCTAATACCAAGGAATGCACTCCATTTGTATCCGCGTTACAGCTGGTGGTAGGTCTTTGACAAGTTTTGAGTTTGTTAAACAATTTGACATAATGTAATGGAATGTTTCCTCTCTCCTCCGCATAGGCTCAAAAGGGTTTTTTTGGGTGGGGAGAATCCGCTAAACGGTACGAGTGTAGAGCATGGTTACGTGAAGGGCGACGGTGGAAGGCGCGGGAGGGAAGTTCGCCGCCCGATCGATCCATTCGACTTTGTGCCTACCATCACCTCGCACAACAGCTTTCTATAACGAACGTTTAACATTCGAGTTTGCGCCTGCACTCACGTTGCGCAGCAGCTTTCTATAACGAACGTTTCGAGCCTCAGCGGAGGAGAGGAATGTTGCTTCATTGAGATCCTTCGCTTCATGCTGTTATTCATACAGTCAACTAAGCTCATCATTAAGCTAAGAGACAGTACATCTCTCAGGGAAGTTACGTCTACATCACCCTCAGTCCAAGGCATTCAGTTTTCAAAACCTCCTCAAGCAAACACTTCCCAAAAGCAGCGTGGATGTCTTTCGCAAGCGGTTCTTGGACAGATTTCTAACAGGACAGTCTTTGCCTCTGGAAGTAGAGTGGATCACTCACTCGTCCTCTTCCCTCTTGTAAGAAGAGCATAAGGCTACAAGGAAATAGACTGAATAAAACAGTTTAATAAAGCATCTTTGGATCGAGTTTTTAGGGTTTTAAGTAGGTAATTAAAAAGTTGAATGATTTTCCGTTATCAGAGTGCATAGTCGAGCTTTATAAACGTGTGCCTCCCGCGGTAATGCTGTCCGCTCAGGGATGGTGAATATGTACGTTATATCGAGTGCTAATGATTCTGTGTCTCTCTTTCAATGTAGAAATCAAACCACAGAATAACAAAAGAACCTGCTGTAGCTAATCCACCAGTGAAGGTATTTTTGATTTCTTGGGTTTTAAAAGGAATTTAAACAAACAAAGGTAACAATCTTTAGTTGCGGTGATTAGTGTCGGTGACTTTACCAGGGCGCACCATGTGACCCGAAACGAATGGACCGTGTCGAAATACATGGTGGCCTG